GGCTGGCCTGGGCAATTCATTGAGACCCTATCTCAAAATAAAATTTGAAAAAGAACTGGGAATGTAGCTCAGTGGTAGAGCACCCTGGGTTCCACCCCAGTCCCGCCAAAAAAAAAAAAATAGCTGCTAAACACTGAGGACCACAAACTTGGCATCTCAAGACCAGGATCCTCCTAGTTGAGGGTGACATGTTTTCAAAAAGGATAATTCACCAGCAAGTCCCAGGGACTGACGGTCTGAACCAGGCTTCAATAGGGACACCATGTGGTCATATGAAGAAACAGCAGTCATGAACTATTCTAGGCATAGTGTAAACCCCCAAAGTTTCTGGATAATTCAAGATGATCTCAAGCACCTGGATTTCTTGTTAATAAATTGTATGCATGCTTGAGCCATTAATTTGGATAAGAGCTTATGACAATATTGTATGCCAAGGTATGGAACTGATCATATTTCTATAGTATATGCCCATAGAATAAGAAAGACAGGATATATCCCAAAGGGGTAACAGTACTCATCTCAGGCTCATAGGACTGAGTGAACATTTTTCCTTTATTTTCCCCCTTGTTTCTTTGCTTTCCAATAATAATAATATCAAACAATAACAGTACATACCATGTGCTATGCACCTGTGAATTGGGTATAATAACTATACTTAGTTTTCAGGTAAGGAAACTAAGGCAGAGAGACTAAGTAACTGCCTCATGTGACCCTGAACTCCAGGCTTCTTTCTGTACTATTTTCCCTGTCTGATTTCTACATACTGACTTTTCTGCATCATATTGCTTATGTAGTAATAATATAAGGAAAGAAATAGTGGTGGCACATATATTTTAATAACTTTTAAAAACAATAAAACAGAACAAAAATACACATATGGTAAGTGTGCATCCCTACACCTAGCTCCCATGGATTTCTTGATGCCTGACCTGCTTCTTATTTAGGGTGAATTATTTTTGCAGGAGACAACCCAGACCTCCATGCAAATCCCTGGTATCAAAAAACAAACAAACAACACAACCCCACACACCTTCTACTTGATGTCACCTTCCTCCGAGATGCCTCCAGTTTTGGCTAAATGCTTATCTGTCATGATACCCACTGCTCCTCATTAGGATTTCTGGTATTCTGTCCTGATCAGCAAGTCCTTTAAGGGAAAGGTAGGTATCTGAACCCTTTTTGTCTCCCTAGAGTCTGGCCCAAGCCATGCTTGACTAGAGCAGGCCTTGACAGAACAGGAGTTCTGCATGAGTGAATGAATCTAGCTTCTCAATTTCAGCAAAGGTATTTCTGTGACTGTGACATACACAGTACAATAGCGGGATCCTTATTCCTTTGGAAAACACAACCCCAACTGGGCGCAGCGGCGCACACCTGTAATCCTAGCAGCTTGGGAGGCTGAGACAGGAGGATTGCGAGTTCAAAGCCAGCCTCAGCAAAGGTGAGGCACGAAGCAACTCAGTGAGACCCTGTCTCTAAATAAAATACAAAATAGAGCTGGGGAAGTGACTCAGTAGTTGAGTGCCCCTGAGTTCAATCCCTGGTACCCAAAACAAACAAACAACACAACCCCACACACTTTCTTTGGGATTGTGCAGAGGGGGTTGCTTGTACAGGGAACACCCTCTCAAGTACAAGGCACCTAGGTACTCTGTATATAGAGGCATCTTTCTGTGGGGCTCCAGGGTCTTTTAGGAATATGAGGAAGCCATTGCTGGTCATGTTCAGCATGCTCCCTGGCTTGAACCAGGAGACAAGGACCAGAGAACAACCAGGGAAGGGGGCAGACACTTGCAATGAGCCGTCTGATAATGAGATTAAGAAAATTCTATCCACAGGAGCAACACATTACCCCTCTTTTCTCAGAACCTTGGAGCAAGGTCAATGTCTCTCTTGCTCCCTATTGCCACTTCCAAACCATTTTCCTTCCTTGTCTCTTAAAACTCCAGTTCCTATGAAGTTCATGCCAACAAACTCAGCCATGCACTCCTCCTCCTCCACTTCCTTTCCCCCTCCCCTCCCCCTCCCCCCTCCTCTCCCCACTTCCCAGTCTCCTTGCCCATGACTTCAATGGACCCCTGATCATCCTCTCATTCACCCAAGACTCTGATCTCTTTCCTTCTTCTGTCCTCTGGTAGCATCACCAACCATGTGGATGGTCCCTACATTACATGGGCCCCTGGCTCCTCCGATTCTCCTACAACAAGCTCTCTCTCCTCCCAGCCATCACTTCCACGTCATCACCAACATCAGTGCCACTTTTGGAATCACACCTTAAGCATCCCCTCTTGGACCACAATTTCCCTCCTCCTGTCCCCACCTATAAGCCTCTTGCTGGCCTCTCTCTTCAGTCCTCAGGGGACCTCCAGCCTCCCAAGCCCACCCCACGTTCACGAACTATCACCTACTCATGCCTTCTTCCTCCTCATTACCATCACCCTTAACTTCTCCAAGGCTCTCTTCCTCCCTTGACTGACCTGCCAAAGCCCCAACTCTGGCCTAATCTGCCCTTTCCTACTTGTACCCCAAAAGCTGGCGGCGGGTGGGCTGGAGGAGCAAACCATGCTGTTCCAGGGAACAGTTCTGAATCCCTCCCACAGACCTAGTCTCCTGGCAACCTTCTGCTCTCTGGATTTTCCAATGCCTGGCTGACTCCTCTTTCTAGGTCTCTAGAGCTTGGGTGAAGTACTGCTGTTTAGCTGGGTACTGTGACACACACCTGTAATCCCAGTTGAAGCATGAGGATCACAAGATCAAGGCCAGCCTCAGCAGCTTAGGGAGATCCTGTCTCAAAATAAAAAAATAAAAAGGGCTTGGCTTTCCACCTCTGATCATGATGTGAGTTGCTTCCCTCCACCACACTCTTCCACCATGATGTTTAGCCTCACCTTGAACCCCAAGGAATGGAGCCGACCTTCTGTAGACTAAGACCTCCAGAACCTTCCCAGCAGACATAGAAAATAATGCACATTGTTTGGGATGATATAAAATGTCAGAAACTCATTATGGAAGCAATTAAGTATCATTTATTACCAGAGAGACAACCCATGTTACAAAGTCCTCAGACAAAACCTAGGAAATCAACCGTTGGTACATTATTTGCAGTTGGAGGAATGGATTCCACAAAAGGACCAACAAGCACTGAAAAATATGATCTGAGGTGGGCATAGTGGCACACCTGTAATCCCAGCAGCTCAGGAGGCTGAGGCAGGAGAATCGTGGGTTCAAAGCCAGCCTCAGCAACTTAGCAAGGCCCGAAGTAACTTAGTGAGAATTTGTCTCTTAATAATAAAAAAAAAAAATGCTGGGAATGTGGCTCAGTTGTTGAGCACACCTGAGTTCAAGCCACAGTACCAAAAAGAAAAAAGAAAAATATGATCCATCTACAAATATGTACAAATATGGACTCCCGTAGCAAATATGAATGGGAGGAAGCTACAGCTCATGTTGCAGTGTTAAATGACAAACTGTACGTGGTTGGAGGGAGAGAGGAACTGAAGAATTTGAATACTCTAGAATGCTACTCTTATGGCCCAGGCTATATGAGCAATGACCAAAAAGACTCCATTTTGCCCTGAGACTCCACGTCATGTGAAAACTACTTCTCCCATGGGAAAGCTCCGCCTCTGTACCCATCAGTAGTTGCTTAGCATAGCATCTTTGGCAACACGAAATGGCAATTCTTCTGCAATGTAAAATTGTTCTCTTTTTGGTTCCTATTTTTCTTGGACAATGTACCATGTCGGAGATTGCTGTCTAGATGTTAGTAACCATTCTTTAACTTGTACTCAATTAGGGACGTTTTGACCCACTCTCCCTTCTGCCTATGATTTTAGATCTCATGAATTTTGTTCATGGCTTTGAATCATAGCAACAGCCACTTATGATTAATGTGGTTTTGGATTACAAAAGGTGTACTGAAACCCAGGAAGGGGTCAAAGGGTTTCGACTTGCAGCCTGCCCCTTGGTCCACCGGCTGGTGGATCTGGACTGACCGCCAACTGGTGAATAAAGGTTCTGTTTCCAGTTTTAAGATTGACTCGGTGATTTATTGCAATCTCACCACAACACTACAACCCCAAAACAAAACGTTGGAGAATGATGCCTCCAATGTCCACATGTAGACATGGCATTAGTGTGGCCATGTTGGAAGGCCCCATGTACACAGTAGGTGGGCGCGATCGCTGGAGCTATCTGATCACAGTAGAATGATGGGACCCCCAGGCTTGTCAATGAAACTTCGTTGCCACTATGTCCACCCCAAGAAGCACAGTAGGTGTGGCAGTACTAACTTCATACAGTTGGCAGTCGTGATGAAAGTTCTTGTCTCAAACCAGGAGAATGCTTTGATCCTCATATGAATAAATGGACACGGTGTTCACAAATGTCAAAAAGGAGAGGTGGCGTAGGAGCGACAACCTAGAATGGACAGCTATTGGAGAACACTATGCCCCTGCATCTAACTTGACTTCCAGACTCTCCAACTGTGTGGACAGATATGATCCCAACACAGACATGCAGACTGAGGTGGCATCTGTGAGCACATCAGAGGTGCAGTGGGGTGTGTTTACTGGGCAATAAATTATATGCCAGTGGGGGATACGAAGGACAGACCTACCTTAACACCGTGGAGGCTTATGATCCCCAGACAAATGAGTGGACCCAGCTTGCTCCACTGTGCCTAGGAAGAGCTGGAGCTTGTGTTGTGAGAGTAAAATTATAATTTGTGCTTTGTTTTCTAAATGACAATATCCTCTTCCTTTATTAATTTGCTACATTATACTATCAACTATATTATACTATGATACTATTAGTAAATGTGCAATATCATATTCCTGAGCACAGAGTGCCTCATTTCAAGGTGATGATGTTAAAAAAGGAGAGAGCAAGGAGTGGATGGACCAGGATTAAATACTTTCATTTCCTAGATCAAAACTACAACAGGTGAACATATGTCCTGATATGAAATATGAGGACAAGGTAACTACTCCAAAACAATCCAGAGTTAACCAGAAATTTCATTTATTCATGATTAAGCACATATTACTTACATTATTCAGATTGATTTTATTACAGTGCAAACATCATAAAAAACTTCTAAAATGTTATTTTATACATGGATTGCAGTAATTTTTGGGGGGAAAGGGTACCGGGGATTGAACTCAGAGGCTCTCAACCACTGATCCACATCCCCTGCTCTATTTTACTTAGACACAGGGTCTCACTGAGTTGCTTAGTGCCTCACCAAGGGTGAGGGTGGTTTTGAACTTGCGATCCTCCCGTCTCAGCCTCCTATGCTGCTGGGATTACAGGCATGCACCACTGTCCCTGGTTTTTACTTCTAGCAATTTTGTTTAATCACAATCACTACTTCTTTCTTTTTTTTTCCCAAGAAAATAGTTTATTAAAGATATGTGCAGCTGGGTTATAGCACATGCTGGTAATGCCAACTATGTGGCTGAGGTTGAAGGATCAATTACAAAGGGAGTGGATGACATGTCAGGATCATATCTCAAAAAATAAACACAGCCGAGTACATTGGTGCACACCTGCAACCCAGCAGCTCAGGAGGCTGAGGCAAGAGGATTGAAAGTTTGATGCCAGCCTCAGCAACTAAGTGAGACCCTAAGCAACTTAGCAAGACCCTATCTCTACATAAAGAATCAAAAGGGTGGGGTTTGTGGCTCAATGGTTAAGCCACCCTGGGTTCAATCCCCAGAACAAAACAAAAAAAAAAATAGTTTATTCCAGGCTGGGCATGGTGGCTCAAGCCTGTGATCCCCAGAGACTCAGGAACTACTGAGGGAAGACTGCAGCAATTCCAGGCCAGCCTGGACAATTTAGCCAGATTTTCCTCTAAAGCGCTGGGGATGTGGCTCAGTGGTTAGTGCCCCTGGTTCAATCCCAGGAACCAAAGCAAAAAGTGATAGCTTCCTATGGAGACATGGAGTCTTCTTCTTGTAGGGCTGGACAGCAGCACAGAAGTGGAGGAAATCCAGAAGTGCTGCAAGTCAAAGGCACACAGGCTGCTAGGATACCTCCTCAAACAGTGCACAATCACTGCTTCTGACATACTGAAGACTATACCATTTAGTTTTTTCAGCTACACTCTATATGCTTTGATTGTAGATTCTACCTCTAAAATTGGCTTAGTCCAATAAATTAAAAGAAAACCACTAAAGCATTAACACAATAATGACCCAATAAAATGATGTGGTCCTTGATCTATTTAAATCTTCATTCCATTACATTTAGATTCATCAAGAATTACATGTAGGGGCTGAGGATATAGCTCAGTTGGTAGAATGTTTGCCTCACATTCACAAAGCTCTGGGTTCAATCCACAGCACCACCACCAGAAAAAAATAAAAAGAATTCCATGTATGACATTCTTTAATTGAAATTTAAACATGACAGTTTACATTAAACATATGCAAACTTATGTAGAGAAAATATCATATGCCCCATAAAGTTTTCACTAGTATTTAATTACATGGATTTGTTTTGTTTTCTTTTCTATTACAATAAATGGTTTGATTTGTCTTTTGATATTGGCAAAATTGGATATTCTTTTGTTCTCAAGTCTCCTGATTTTTCTCTTAGTTTTATCACAGTTAGTAATTCATCATGAGACTTTGTAATCAACCAGTTTGGAGGGAACAGGCTCGTTTAATGTTTAAAAAATAAGTTTAAAGTGTTTGTTACTCAAGCTTTTGTGCATTTCTAAACTCTAACTACATATGTGAAGGTTAATACTCTCCCTGAATTGTTTATTCTTTGCAAAAATGCACGGGGCAGGGGCTGGGGATGTGGCTCAAGTTGTAGCGCGCTCGCCTGGCATGCATGCGACCCGGGTTCGATCCTCAGCACCACATACAGACAAAGATGTTGTGTCTGCCAAATACTAAAAAATAAATATTAAAAAAAAAATGCACGGGGCAGTAACATTTTGTGATATTTCCTATGAGGTATAAGTCATTAATGAATCCATATAAAATGAATCTAAACTATATTCCCATCTTTCAAAATTAAAAAAAGAAAAAAAAAGGGGCTGGGGGGGCTGGGGATGTGGCTCAAGCGGTAATGTGCTCGCCTGGCATGCGCGGGGCGCTGGGTTCGATCCTCAGCACCACATAAAAAATAAAACAAAGATGTTGGGTCCACCGAAAACTGAAAAATAAATATTTAAAAAAAAATTTTTAAAAAAGGGCTGGGGATGTGGCTCGGTGGTAAAAGATCCTTGCATTCAATCCCCAGTACAGAAAAACAATTTTTTTAAGTACTGCTGTTTACAAGCGAACCTCAGATACACCTTTCTTTCTCCTTCTCCCCACCCCTCATCTTACTTGTACCTTGGTGCCAAAGTTTATCTCTGTGGCTCCCAAAACTGAATTCTCAGGCTTGACCCTCTCCCAGGCTCCAGACTTCTACTTCATATCCTTGGCATCCTTCCCAAACATCCAACAGGCATCTCAAACTCGCCCAACCTCAGGCCTGGCCAAAACAGACTTCTTGGTGATTCCTCCCAGCCTCTTCCTCCTCCAGTCTTATGCTCATCAGGGTACCACCATCCACCCAGAGGCTTAAATTAAAAAAAAAAAAAAATCTAATGAGTCCCTTCTTTCTCTCACCCCCACATCCAGTGCTTTGTCAAATCCCATTGATTCTGTGTCTCAAACACTTTTTATTCTCATTCTGGTACTGGGGATGGAACCCAGGAGTACTTTACCATTAAGCTACATCCCTAGTGCTTTTTATATATGTAGGTATGTATGTATATACTTTGAGACAGGGCCTCACTAAATTGTCCAGGTTGGCCTGGAATTTGTGATCCTCCTGCCTCGGCCTCCCCAACCACTAGGATGACAAGTGTGCACCACCACATCCACCTAAAACACATCCTGAATTCTTTTCTCTCCTTCTCCATCAGCGCCCACCTAGTTCAAGCCACCAGCACCCTCACCTGGACCACTGGCCCCTCTGCTTCCCCCATTTCCCATCAGTCAACTAGTGCAGCAACAGACAGAAAAATCCCTGTGAAATGAACATCAGATGAAGTCACCTCCCTTAATACACAAGGGTGAAGGGGAGAGGCTTTCCAAAGATTTTCCACCATGCACGGAGTAAAATCAAACCTTTCCCCTGGCTTTAGGACCTAGTGATTGACCCTGACACTCGGGCCCCACATCTCTTAGCCTCCCCCCGCGCACGCCATTTACTCTGTACCCACCATCTCTGTCCCCACCATACTGCCTTCTGTGTTTCGCAAACACAAAAGCTCTTCCCTATTTCAGAAACTTAAGCAACCCCTGCCCAGAAGGATGTTCCTCCAGGACTTTGCATAACCAGCCACTTCTTTTCAGGTATCTTAAATGCCACCTTCTCCAAGATGCCCTACCTGGCCACCCAATTTGCAGTAGCTATCTAGTGACACTCTGTCCCAGCTCTACATAACTGTCTGATATTTTCTCAGATTTGCTAGGCTATTTCTTTTCCCCACTCACCTGTCTTGGCTTCTTGTGTCACCAGTACCATGGCACTTGGGCTGTGCTCATTCACATTTTAACAAATAAGAAAGGAGGAGTCAGGAGCAGTGGCACACACCTGCATTCCCAGTGACTGGAGAGGAAGAGGAGGAAGGATCCCACATTCAAGGCCAGACTCAGCAATTTGGTGAGATTCTGTGTCTAAAAAATAGGGTTGAGACCCAGGTAAGGTGGCAGACGCCTGTAATCTCAGCAGCTTGGGAGGCTAAGGCAAGAGGATTGAGAGTTCAAAGCCAATCTCAGCAAAAGCAAGGCGCTAAGCAACTCAGTGAGACCCTGTCTCTGAATAAAATACAAAATGGGGCTGGGGATGTGGCTCAGTGGTCAGGTGCCCCTGAGTTCAATCCCCAGTACCTAAAAAAAAAAAAAAAAAAAAAATATATATATATATATATATATGTGTGTGTATGTATATATATGTAAGTGTGTATATATAGATATGTGTGTATATATATATACATATATATGGCAGGGGTTGTAGCTTAGAGGTAGAGCTGCTTGCCTAGCATGTGTGAGGCCCTGGGTTCGATTCTCAGCACCTCATGTAAATAAATATATAAAGGTTATAGACAACTAAAAAAAAATGTTCTAAAAAATTAAAAAAATAGGGCTGGGATTGTGGCTCAGTGGCAGAGCGCTTGCCTCGCCTGTGTGAGGCACTGGGTTCAATCCTCAGCACTACATAAAAATAAATAAATAAAAAATAAAGGTATTGTGTCCATCTACAACTAAAAAAAATATTTTAAAAAAATGAAAAGGGCTGGGGATGTGGCTCAAGTGGTAGAGTGCATGCCTAGCATGCGTGAGGCACTGGGTTCGATTCTCAGCACCTCATAAAAATAAAATGAAGATATTGTGTCCACCTAAAACTAAAAAATAAATATTTAAAAAAAAAATTTAAATAGGGCTGGGGTTGTAGCTCAGCAGTGGCGCACCTGCCTAGCATGTGTGAGGCACTGGGTTCGATCCCCAGCACCACATTAAAAAAATAAATATGATAAAGGTATTGTGTCCACCTACAACTAAAAAAAAATTTTTTTGAATTTTAAATGGGCTGGTGATATACCTCAGTTGTTAGAGTGCTTGCCTCTCATGCACAAGGCGCCCCATCACCATAGGAAAAAAAATTAAAAATATAAGTAAATAAAAAGAGCTGGGGATGTAGCTCATTGTTCGAGAACCCCTAGATATATTGTGTCCAACAACAACTAAAAAATAAATGTTTAAAAAAATAATGAATGGGCTGGGGATGTGGCTCAAGCGGTAGCGCGCTCACCTGGCATGTGTGCGGCCCGGGTTCCATCCTCAGCACCACATACAAACAAAGATGTTGTGTCCGCCAAAAAAACTAAAAAACAAATATTGAAATTCTCATATTCTCTCTCTCTCTCTCTCTCTCTCTCTCTCTTTAAAAAAAAAAACAATGAATGAAAAAAAGGAATAAATTGTGGTGTGATTGCGCAGAGCTTTGCAGCTCTTTGAGCCCTCTGGATGAAATGAGAAGATATGAAAGACGGCTTCTGAGGATCTGCCTGAGGCAAGTCAGTACTATGATGGCCAGTGACCACCAGGTGTCGCCAAAGACCAAGGAGAAAACTTCACTAAGCCATCCTTCCTGGGCAGAGCCTTCTGGCTTCCTAGAGAGGCTCAAAAAATTGGAATAAACGTCAAGCCTTGGGGGGCAATCCTGAAGTGATGGGTCACCAATTATCCAGTTATCCAGAGCCAGAGCTTGGACCCTAGGCTGTTGCTGGACCTGTGTTCTCATCTACCCACTAGATGCACTCTTATTACCCAGGTTCCTCTACCTCAGACCCTTCCACCCCTTGGTGGGAGGAAGTAGTATGGGAAAGGGGAAGAGGTGCCACTTTCCTCCGGCTTCTGCTCTCAGGGATCATTCCCCTGGGGCAGGGGTATGTCTGTCCCTCGGTGTGCTCCTGGTGCCCTCGCGTCCAACGAAACCAGCTTGTAACAGGGAGACAGCTATGCTCGCCATGAGGTGATAACAATCATATTCCACAGAATTCATCTTCTGAGGTTGGGAGCTCCCAGAAGAGGAGGAAATGTATTTCCCTAAACAAACATAAAACCATTATTAGCTCAGGGTCCAACAAGAATCCACTGGCCAGGCTACCAGCAGGCCAGAGTTTGCAGAACCCTAGTTTAGAGGAAGGAAAACCTCATGATAAACCACTTGGAGACTCAGGTATTATTTCAGAGAGGAGCTACAAGGAAGGGCCTTGACTTACCAGGGTCATCTCTTTTCTTCCTTCATGGAAAACATATACTCTTGCATTTTCATGCAGGCACATACATGTGCTGTGGTCAACAGGCTCCTGTGCCTCAGTGTAAGGAAGAAATCTCTGATTCTGAGAGCCTGGGACCCCATATCTTTAGTAAGAATGGATTTTACTGCAATAAGAATGAATTTTACACTTCAGGTAGGGCAGAGACTAAAGGTAGGATAAAGAGATACAGCCTGGCAATGTTAAGGAAAATGAGACTGAAAGAGTTTGCCAAGTGGATTTCTGGAGACAACTGACCTAGAGACTTTAGGGCTGTTTTTGAGGTTGAACCAGAGCCTGGACTTGTAAGTGGTGATTTTTTTTTTTTTAATATGTGATGCTTTAATAAAATGACCCATATGCTAATTATATCCACAGTTGTGTCCTGAGCTATTCATCATAGAGGACTTCTCTCTGATTCAGCTGTTCTGAACCCTTTCTCTACTTCTGTCCCCACATGCACAGAAACTTTGTCTTTACATGTGATCTAAGATAAACCTAGAATCCTAGGCCCTGTGAAGGTTTATGGATACAACCAAATCCTCAGGTGAGCATGAATCATGGGCAAGGAAGCAAATGAGAGGAAGACAGAGGACAAGGGACAGTGGTCTGCGGGAGTCAGGCGTGGATAGTTGGGCACAGAGCCCAAGAGGCAGAGTGACTCAGGAAGGGGACACTCAAAACCAATGGAAGGGGCTAGCACCCCATTACCTGCCAGCACTGTTGGCCTTCACCACAGAGACTCATAGGAGGACACAGCATGGTCTGGCCCAAGTAGATGGATGCCAGTCTACATCAGCCCAGTGCCACCAAGCATCAGCTGTGGATGGTGGTACACACCTGTAATTATCAATCAAAAAGCATGGCATTTTTTGCTGAGCATGATGGTGCACACCTGTAACCCCAGCTACTTGGGAGGCTGAGGCAGGAGGATCACAAGTGTCAGGTCAGCCTCAGCAACTTACCAAGGCCCTGTCTTAAAAAAGAAAATGTTGGGAATGTGGTTCAGTGGTCGAGTGCCCCCCTGGTTCAATCTCCAATATCCCCACAGACACAAAGAATGACATTTTCTTGACTTCAAGTGACTTTGCTGGTGGGCATGGGAAGGGGCCTTGATTCTTTCTGGCCGAGGAGACACCGAAGTCTCAGAAAGGAAATGGGCCATTGCAATTCCTGAGATCCCCAAGTGCAGCCCAGTCTCTCCACCCACTTTGTCCACAGGATTTCCTTCAGCTTCCCTCTCTTCTTTCTCCCCCAGGCTCCTGGCCACCTCACTACATCCATTGTTGATTTGGTCAAAGTTCTCCCAGAGGAACTTTTTGCAAATAGGTACATACATGTGCCTGTGGTACATGAACATCCCTGTGCATGGAAAAATGGTGTGGATAGACCATTGTGTGAGCCTGTGTGTATGGTCTGGAAACTACCGAGATACAGCTTTGGGGACTGTTTTAGAGGCTGAACCAGAGCATAGACTGGTAAGTGATGATTTTTAAAACATGATGCTTTAATAAAAGGATCCATATGCTAATTATGTCCACAGTTCTGTCCAGAGCTATTAATTATAAAGGGCTTCTCTGACTCAGCTCTTCTGAACCAGATAAAAGAGTAGCATCAGTGAGCTCTGCTTTCCCAACCCTCCAAGGCCAGACTTAGCTGCCCTGGGTTCCCCTGTGTTGATAGCTGATTGGAGCAGCAGAGCCCTCCCTGCCCCACCAAGAAAACAAGAGGCCTGCCATGCTTCTTAGAGAAAGCCAGGAGGAACAGCCATGAGCAGCGCCCCCTTGTGCTCACTCCACAGAATACTTGACTTGGGGATGAATGACACCTGCCCCCAGGAGTGAGGCTGGTATCTTTTTTTTTTTTTTTTTTTTTTTTTTTGTGGTGCTGGAAATTGAACCCAGGGCTTTGTGCATGAGAGGCAAGCACTCTACCAACTGACCTGTATCTCCAGTCCCAAGGCTGTTTGTGATTGTTTTTTCATTTTCCTAACTTTTCATTGTGATAATTTTCAAACATTAAAAAGTCAAAAATCAATACCAGAATCACCTGTAAATTCCAGAGACTCAGGAGGCTGAGGCAAGAAGATCACAAGTTTGAGACAACCTGGGTGACACATAGTGAGACCCTGTCTCAAAATAAAATGGAAATAACTGGGTATATAGCTCAGTGGTAAAACATCCCTCAGTTTAATCTCCAATACCACCAAAAAAAAAAAAAATCACCTGTTTATCCCCACATCCAAATTCAATAACTGTTAACAAGTTACCATATTTGCTCTCTCTAATGTGTGTATGGACGTGCCTTCTCCTCTTCTGTCTTCTCAAATTTTCCTCTGCCTCTCTCTTATAAGGACACTTGTGGTTACATTTAGAGCCACCTGGATAATCCTGAATAATCTCTCTATCTCCAGATTCTTAACTTAATCGCATTTGCAACCACCCTTTTGCCTTATAGAATAACATTTGCAGATTTTAGAGATTATGGTAAACATAACCACCCCTCAGATCAAGATAAAATGGATTCCCAACTTCCCCAAAAGTCTCCCATATCCCAAGTAACTGCACCATAAATTAAATTTGCCTTTTTTTTTTCTTTTAATTTTGGTGGGTTTTTTTCCCCCTCTTTCTGAATATCACACAATATGGCATATGGGATATGTCTACATAAAACACACACTATATATATATATATATATTTCTCTCAACATAATATCTGTTCTATGTATCAGTAGGTATCATGTTATTGTAGGGATCGATAGTTTTCTTTCTCTATCTCTCTCTTTTTTATTTCTGAGTAATACTTCAAAATGTGAATGGTGTTTAGCCCAGCACAGTGACACATGCCTACAATTCTAGCAACTCAGGAGACTGAGGCAGGAGGATCCCAAGTTTGAGGCCAGCCTCAGCAACATAGCCAGACCCTGTATCAAAATTTAAAAAATAAAATAAAAAGGGCTGAGGATGTAGCTCAGTGGTAAAGCACCCCTGGGTTCAATCTTCAGTACCCAAAAATAAAAATTAAATTAAAAAATAAAAGAAAGAACAAGGCACAGTGGCACACACCTGTAATCCCAGAGACTTGGGAGGTTGAGGCAAGAGGATTGCAAGTTCAAAGCCAGCCTCAGCAATTTAACAAGGCCAGAAGCAAATTCATGAGATCCTGTCTCAAAATTTAAAAATAAAAAGGGCTAGGGATGTAGCAGAGTATTTAAGTGCCTATGGGTTCAATCCCTGGTACCAAAATAAACAAATAAATATAAATAACATTTTAGTCTATTTGCCCTGCTATAACAGAATACCTGACACTGTGTAATTTATAAACAAGAGAAATTTATTTCTCACAGTTCTGGAGGTTGGGAAGGCCAAAACAAGCAGAGGACATCTAGTATGGGGCCTACTTGCTAAAGCCTTACATGGTGAATGTGTCCTCACTTGGCAGAAGAGTTATAAAGACACAACCACTTTACAAACCCTTAAACAGTGGCGCTAATATATTCATTAAGGGATGGTTGTGTGGCTCAGTTGTAGAGCACACTTCCCCAGCATGTGTGAAGGCCAGCACTACCAAAAAAAAAATCTATATCTGAAAAGTGAAAAGTCAAAATAAAACCCAAGTGTCTCAAGATAATTTATAAACACAGGACAAATGGAACACACTGGGGATAGGTTGGGGGAACAATAGTGGCAGCAGCAGGCAAGACTGTCTCCATGTTGTTCATGCCCTGAAGGAAAGGGAAACTGAGGTCAAGAGCACATAGAATTGGTGAGTGGCCCCAGCGCATCTTAGGGGCTGCTGCAGGGAACCTGGGCCTCTGGAAGATGAAAGGTGACTCTGCACCTCCATCGTTGCAATAGATCCTCAATGCCAGGAAGAGGGCAAGGTGAGCCTGGGCCCCTGTGGAGAGACAGCAGGGGACTCAAACCTCTGCTGGCTTACTTCCTGTGTCCCAAAGGCGACACAATCCAACCTAGGGCAAGGACTAGGAAATATGGGAGAGGAAGGAAGGAACTCTAGGAACATGGTTTGATTTGGGTTGAATTTTGGTGTTTTTCCCCCATCTTTTCCCCATCTTTCTGAATTTCATACAATATGGCATATGGTGTATGTCTACCTAAAACACACTACATACAAATGTATGTGTGTGTGTGTGTGTGTGTATGTATCTTTCTCTCAAAGTGCTTTGGGCCAAGTACTCCCTTCCATTAGCTTCCATTAGCCACACCTGCTGCTGCTGTTATGGCAGAGTGGGGCGTGTTGAAATGAAATGGGGCTGGGGCTCCTTTTTTATTTTGTTTTGTTTGTGTGTGTTGTGAGAAATAAGGAGGTGCCCCCAAGAAATCAAACATGAGCTTGAAAGTGGGTGCCAAGGCAAACCTTTACTTCCAACACAAGGGTGGGATTCAGAACCTGGGAGGACAGTTGGCTTATTGATATACCTGAGGTAGCCCTGGTCTTCTCTCTGATTGGAGGACTCAGGGGTACAATCTTAGAATGAGGGTGGGCAAAAAGCAAGGACTACTACAATAAGATTCCATTAAGGCTGAATACTGTATTTTGAAAATGGACCAATAGACTTTCTATTTCTCACACCGTATATGTTCCTGGGGATTGAACCCAGGAGTGTTTTACCACTGAGCTACACCCTAGCCCTTTTTATTTTATTTTGAAACAGAGTCTTACTAAATTGCCCAGATTGACCTTGAACTTCAGATTCTTCTGCCTTGGTCTCCATAGTTGCTGGGAGCTGGGATTACAGGTGTGTGCCACCATGCCCAGCTTGGGGCTATTTTATTTTTATTTGGGGGGAGGGTACTGGGTATTGAACCCAGGGGTGCTTTACCATTGAGCTCTCCAGCCCTTTTTGTTTTTTATTTTTCAGACAGGGTCTCACTAAATTGCTCAGGCTGCCCTCAAACTTGCAATCCCCATCTCAGCATCCCAATTTGCTAGGATTACAGGTGTGTGTCACTGTGCCTGGCTTTAAGGGCTCCTTTTAAGGGGAGACCTCGCAGTTCCTCTTGTGGGAAAACAGAGGAAAGAGTAGGAGAACAGAGAAGGATCCCCAAACCAACACCTCAGATGGTGATGTCCCCACTGCTAGAGGAGTGAGGATGCAGCAGGAGGCATCGATTGTGACAAAGTGGGACATTAGCTTTGTCCAGGAGGGCAAGAGCATTTGGGTAGAAAATGAAACCCAAGGAACCCTTCCACTCTGGGGCATGAGGCCCCTACAGTGACTGGAATGCCATAGGGGTATGGTGGGGTGCCTGGGAGGAGCTGTCTTTAGATGACCATGTGCACTCTGTTCTCTGGGGTATGTGCTAAGGAGCACAATCCAAGGTTTGTAGAGTGGGCTATGGAGAATTGTAATAGAAACCACCAAAACACTTCCCAACCATGCACTCTCCCTCTCCCCCCACTGCCCTTCTGGGGTGGTCCAGCTGCTCCCAGTCCTCCTGAGGCCTGGGTTGTGTGTGTGTGTGTGTGTGTGTGTGTGTGTTTGGGGGGGATGGTGCTAGGGATGTACATTGGAGGCAAGGACTTTACCAACTGAGCTAAATACCCAGCCCATCCTGAGGGCCTTTGGGGCCAAGTACTCCCTTCCATTAGCCACACCTACTACTGCTGTTAAGTGCAGTGCTTTGGCCTGCCTTGGTGGGGGGAACTCACTATGTCAATTGTCCCACACCTCAGGTAGGACAGAACTGTTTTGCCTGCTATAATTTCTTAAGCCTTCAGTAATTTTCATTCTGATTAAAAAAAAAAAAAAGTTGGGTGGTTTTAAGTAAACTTTTTTTTTTTTTTTTTTGGTACCAGGGATTGAACTCAGAGGCACTAGACCACAGAGCCACATCCTAGTGAAGACAGATTTAAAGTTAGGTAGTCAGTGTAGTTAGGTAAATCGGGTCTAATATGGAGTAAGATCTAAAATGGAGGCCACGTTGAGAATGAATTCCGGGAAAAGTTGAACAACTCTTGGAATGTTAATGAAAAGCCCTAGGCCCAAAGCCCATCCAAAGAAGTGTTAATGAACAGCCCCCAGCAAACTTGAAGGTGCTGACTCAGAAGTCCGTCCTGACCAGATTGCTTCTTTGGCCCACCTGTGTCCCACCCCTCAGGCCTTCCCACCTACATTCCATCACTGAAAGAAACTATAAAATGGAGAGACAACCGCACTTCCACGGATTCCATCTCTTGGGACCCCTTCTTCCTCCGAGAGAAGTCTTTTCTGCTGTCCTTTAATAAACTTCTATTTTCCATTCTGACCTTGCCTTGGCGTGCTTCTCTGGTGTTATTCTTCCACATTGAGGAAGCAAGGACTCGTCACCGGTCAACAGCAGTAACACTAGGCCTATTTTTTTCTTTTTTTTTTTAAGTGATTTATTCCTTAATGAATATTTAACACTAGAAAAACTTCTGCTTCTCCTTTTTTGTGTGGGGTGAGTACTGGGGATTGAACTCAGAGGCACTTGACCACTGAGCCGTATTTTGTATTTTATTTAGAGACAGGGCCTCGCTTTTGCTAAGGCTGGCTTTGAACTCAGGATCCTCCTGCCTCAGCCTCCCAAGCCACTGGGATTACAGGCGGGCACCACTACACCCAGCTTGTATTTTATTTAGAGACAGGGTCTCACTGAGTTGTTTAGCACTTGCTTTTTGCTGAGGCTGGCTTTGAACTCATGATCCTTCTGCCTTGAAAAACCAGCCTCTACCTCAGAGCAAAGCCTGTCCAAGGAAGGGACATGACCTTTGTCCTTGGAAAGACCCACAGAGCACATCCTGCTAAGTTGTTTATCTACAAATAACAGGAGAGATCTGCTGCGCCAGGTGTCCCTGACTCAGTCAGCTTAGGTGGGGACCCATAGCAACCCCCTAGCAGCCACCAATCAGCAAGAGACAGGGAAATACCTAGGATGCCAGATGACCCTCCCAGTAGTTTATGGTGTTGGGAAACTATGTAGTTCAGCATGTACACCCCTCTTGGCTTAAACCAATCTGTTCAAAGGAATCCCCCTTTTGTAGTAACCAATCACCCCTACCCAACTTGTTCCCGCCAGTGAATGTGCTAACCATGTTTTAGAGTTGTTATTTGATTTTCCAGCAGTGTGTGATGATTTGCTAAGAGATGCTATGACATACGTATGTGGGGGTCCCTGCCTTCTCCAAAGAATGTATAAAACTGCTGCAAACCCTGGGCCCAGGGCCTCTCAGCGTCACCAGTTGCTGTGTGTTCGCACGGAGGACCGAGCTAGCTCACAATAAACACCTCTTTGCTGTTTACATCGATCTTGGTCTCTGGTGGTCTTTTGGGGGTCCCGAATTCGAGCATAACAGCCTCAGCTTCCTGAGTTATTGTGATCATAGGGGCAAACTAGCTAGTGCGCGCCTGACCTCAGTACTTTTTATATTTTATTTTGAGACAGGGTCTTGCTAAATTGCTTAGGGCCTCCTAAATTGCTGAGGCTGACCTTGAACTCAGGATCCTCCTGTCTCAGCCTTCAGATGGAATTACAGGCTTTCCCCACTGTGCTGGCTTTAAGTGGATTTTATCAAGATAAAGCCCTCTGGAAGTTAGATTTGTGCACACAATCATTGTTTCCATCTTGCAAAAAATATTTACCCAGATATTTATTCATTTAGGTATTAAGGATTGGACTCAAGAGAGCTCTACATCTCCAGCCCTTTTTAATTTTTATTTTGACACAGGATCTAGCTAAATTGCTGAGGCTGAGGTTGAAATTTGTGATCTACTTGCCTCAACTTTCTGAATTACTAGGATTACAGGTATGTGCCACCACCACCTGGCCAGATTTTTAAACATTTAGTTTCATAATGATTATCTAATATAGGCTTTTACATATCAAACACTTCTACCCAGAGGGAAACTTTGAATTAAATTTTTCCAATGTGATCTCCCTTTGCAGCAAAATTAGAATAAAAGCATTTATACTGGGGGAGTAGCTCAGTGGCAGAGCACAAGGTTAGCATGTGGGTTCAACCCCTCAAACCCCCACCCATTTTTTTAAAAACTGATGTTCACATCAGCAAGTCTTCTCAAGTCCTCTCTTTCCATCAGTTCTGGGGAGGTGAGTGTTTGGTTGGTGTTTGGTACCCGGGATTGAACCCAAGGGCACTTAACCACTGAGCCACATCCCCAGTCCCTTTTCTTTTTTATTTTGAGACAGGGTCTCACTAAATTGCTGAGGCTGGCTTTGAACTTGCAATTCTCCTGCCTCAGCCTTCCGAACCACTGGGATTACAGGCATGCGCCATCCCAGCTTTTCCCATTAGTTTTAAACAAAACCACTTGTACAAGGAAATTGGGTAAGAAAAACCCTAGAGTTATCAATTAAAAAAAAAAACAAAAACAAAAAAACTGTGTGTGTATGAGGGTGAAGGAATACCCATAACCACATGGCTTTCTGTTGTTTTAACCTTTCCTGAAAGATTCCGAGGTTCCTTTAACAGCTTCCTGGTACTCCTTTTCTGATGGCCTAACGAGCACCCCGCCCACCCCCTGCCCCACACCCCGCCTGCCTCACGGGCAAAAAGGGGAAGAAAAACTCATAACCCAAGTATTTAGCTGCTGGCTCTGCCAACTGCAGAGCAGAAGCTGACGTAAAGGATCCGAAATCAAAGAAGGTTTGATTTACATAAATCTCATTTTGATAGTATCCTTCTCCCTCGTCTTCCCCCAGCTGGCAGGTGTCCCAAGTCCCGCCCCTCCAGCTGTCCCTAACTCACCTAGGGACCCTGTGGCTGCCAGTTCCCTCCCATCAAAGTCCGATCCACCGCCTTTCAGACGCTCGCTGCGAGTGCAGACTGGTCACCGCCTTCGGGAATACAGTCCTGCAGGAAGTGTCAAGAGCTGTAAACCGTTCACACGATCACACCCACTGGGGACCGTACAGGCCGAGCTGGAACCGGCCACCCGGGAACCAGCTCTCTGGGCGCGGTCCAGGTTCGAGCATCAAGCCGGTGGGTCCAGATCGCTAACCTCCAAATTCCTGGAATGTGGCCCTGAAGGGTCTGCCCAACACCCCGCGGCGCCCAGTGAGAGCACAGGAATTGTCCCAGGGCCTGGGGAGGGTAGTACAGGAGTTTCTCTCTCTCCCATCTGCTTTCTTTGTCATTCTAATTAACGGCTGGGGACACCTTTTGTCAACTGTAGAGAATTATGCAAATGAATGAGGTTGGTATTGTTATGACTAAGAGGCGATTGGTTTCAAAATCACTTGAATATTCCACCATCAAATCCTGTCTGTTCCGCACCGGGTTGGGGGTAGGGGGGGAGCTCTCCCCAGAGTTTGCCTTTTCCCCTCCCGGTGTGAATTGCAGGGTGGAAACCCAGCCACCAAGGCATTCCTGCTCGGAGTGGGTGGTTTGCCAAGCTTCTGGGGCTGCGGCAGAGTTTGAACTTTGAAATCAGACTGCCGTTAAGCTTTGGATCAGTAGAATTGGGCTCTTGTGCTGTTCAGTTATTAGTTGCATGACCCTGGGAACCTCAATCTTACATATTTTTGTTTATATACTATGCAATTAATAGACAGAAGAATTAGTGAGCCATTAACAGAAAAATACTTTCCCTGTTTCCAAGAGGCTTACCCTTGGTGGGGAGATAGGTGAATAAACACTATGACCTACCTTGGTCAGTGTCAGGATAAGGAAATATGTGTGGGCAATGGAGATCCAGTGAAGGGCCATTTGGGTGGGCTGACACTGTGTAGAGAAGGTGTCAAGAGAAATTCATATTTGGACTCAGAGTTAAAGAACAATGAGGAATTTACCTAGTTGACAAGCAAGCTGAGGCCATTGTAGGTAAAGGAGAACCAAGTGAAGATGTAGCAGGTTTTAAGAAATGTGGTGTTTTCATATGGTAGGGGTATAGGATGTTAGGGCTGTGGGTGGAATGCTGGTAAAGAACTGTGGATGTGTTATTTAAAGTTCTTAGAAGTTGCAGTTAATTTTTGTCATTTATTTAAATGGTGTTAACATTTTATCAATATATCCACTTTGCTTTTCAATGTGTGATTTTTTGAATTTTCTCTATCATTATATAAGTGATTCCATTTTCCACTTTATTGAGAGTAAGTTCACCAATTTTGAAGTGATGGTTGATGAAAAAATAATTTCATAAATTAAAATGTAATTTATATAAAATCATATGTACTTAATAAAATTGAACTCCCATTTAAAAAAATAAAAAAATTTAAAAAATTAAAAAAAAAAGAAATCAGACTGGCAGAGGCCCGGATCCTTCCCTGGGTCTTGGTTTACTGCTTACCTTTAGAAAACCACCGGGCTTCTCGGAATTCCACTTTTCTCACCTGTGAGAGGGAAGTGAACAGTGTCATCAGTGTCATGGTGATCACGTGCAGGGCAAAGGTTAAAAAGAATCTAGTGCTCATAATCCTTATGTGCCATTGTCTAAAAAATTACATTGTACAACAAATATACCACTCATTGTAACTTTGAAATAACTTCTAACTTTTTTTCCTTGTTTTGGTACTGGGGATTGAACCCAGGAGTACTTTACCACTGAGCTACATCCCTAGACCCTCCTCCATTTTTTTTTTTTTTTTTTTTTTTGACAAGGTTTTGCTAGATTGCTCAGGGCCTCCCTAAATTGCTGAGGTTGGCCTTCAACTCAGGATCCTCCTGAGTCTCTGGGGTTACAGGTATGAAGCACCACGCTCAACTGAAATATTTATGTTTTCAGAACTCTATTCTTTTCCACTAATGACAATGAAAGACCCCAGCCCAATAACTTTAGGCCCAGTAATAAATCACCAGGGCTTGCTTCCGCACCTGCACAGACGTCAGATGTATTTTTCAGAAAATCAGTTAAGTGTAAACGATTAAGAAAGGACAGGATGGTTGGGAAAGGAGCCGGCACGGTTGGGCAAACGGGATCATACAATGAAAAACCATACAATGAATAACAAATGGTTTTTATGTGGTTTTTCCAGGAACCTATAGTGAAAAACAAGTTTACCCTTTAAGTGACCTATATGCTGGATTCAAAAGAGCCAATGAGATACCTGTTACTGTGCTAGGAGGGAAACTGACCACTGTACCCTATAAAAGATCTGTACCCCAAAGCCCGGTGTGCCAGTTCACCGAAGCTCCGGCTGAGGTTTCGCTGAGCACCCGCAGGCGCCTGTGTAGCAATAAATCACCTCTTGCGTTTGCAGCCAGTGCCTCGTGCGTCTTTCTTGGACAGGGAATCGGCGGGTCTTTCATTTGGCGAGCCAGCCAGGAGAACTCCTGTAACCCCATCCGGATCCCTGCCCGAGGAACACCCGATAACCACTGGGAGGTAAGCTGGCCAGTTCGTGTCATTTTGTGTCTCTCTCTGTCTGGTTGTTATCTTGTTATCTGTTCATGCGCAGCGTCTGTACGATTACGCGTAATTGCTCTGTATTCTGGGCAGCTTGAGAAGGAGTTGACGAACTCGGACTTCTCCCCTGCCACCCTGGGAGACGTCCCAGGGGCTCAGGGAGGCCCATCTTGGGGGGGCCTCCAATGTTCTGTAGAGTACACTGTACTCGTGGGTGACGGAGGTGACGGTATCCCTCCTCTCCCTAATCCGTCAGGTACGTTCGGTTTGTGCTCGAGCCGCGCAGCGTTCTCTGTGTCCAGTCTGATATTTGTGTCTGTCTTCTTGCCTTTGCACTTTCTCACTCCATCTAAGACTAACATGGGGCAATCCATAACAACTCCTTTGAGTCTCACCCTTGACCATTGGCAGGACGTCCGAAATCGGGCAGACAACCAGTCAGTAAAAATTAAGAAGAAAAAAAAAATGCCTAATGCCTAAGGTCAAACCAAACTGGAGGAACTGATCCTATGGGTGAAAGATAGGATTAAGGGACTCCCAGCAGCTGCCAGAGCCATTTAGCTCTGGGGAGTTCCCTGGGTCCTTATCTACATCTTAGGGATTATGCCACCTCTGTTTACTTAAAAAGAAGGGACACTGAATGCAGTAAAGCCAGTCACACTGAGACCCTTGATTTTACACCTATAGTTGCCCCTACGTGAAAACATCTGGTCCACTCATGGGAAAGTCTATGGTGCCACTGATGGGAGTCATAATTAAATGAAAGTTCAAAACCTGGAGAGATATTTTCTTATCTGGTTGTCTGATTGTTTCTTAGGGATAATCTAGGTTAAATGTGTGTCCAAAAAAAAAAAAATAATAATAATAATTTTTATTGTAACAATCTGGTATCTGAATGGGTTTCTAAAGCATTGCACTATCTTGCAGTTAAAAGTTGGGTTTAAGCAATTGTTTAGTTTGATTTCAGATAGTTCATGCTAGAAAACTTAAATACTTGGGATAAAAAAAATTAAAGAGTTTCAATTTTGAACTGGGTAGCCTGAAAAAAAATTAAAACGTTGGTCTGGCTCATAAAAATGACATTAGATAATTAAATAGCAATAGTCTTAGACATTTTCAAAGCTTAATTTCAGATATATATGGTAGTGTGTGAGCAAATTTAATGTAACTCAATGCTACTTTGGGAACTTTAGAACAAGCAAAGTGGCTTAGAGGTACTAAAGAAATTTCTTCTGATGGTAGAGGTCCTATTTCCAGTTTTATGTGAACAAGTTTTTCTAATGTAAAAAGATATAAAATTTTAAATTTTGGGAATTACTTCTTAAATTTGTATCATAATTTTCAACATCTAAACCTGGAAATATAACTTGAAGTAAATTGTATGGTATTTACTAACTACTGGCCAGTCATCTTTTTTTTAGGACTCTTGTTTTTTCTTAGATTCTGTATTTTTTTGAGCTCGTGATTCTGATCCTGCAGACCTAGGTTAATGTTTTTCTGATCAGTGAAGTTTTTTTTTAAAAAAAAAAAGAAAACACAAAAACATTGCAATGGAGATTTCATCTGCGAAAAGCTACGAGGCCTTTATTAATTGTTATGTGTGCACACTCTTGTTATGTGTTGTATGTCGGTATGTCTGTATGTGTGTATGTCCATATATCCTGCAGTGATATAACAATTGACAGATGAGGAGCGCTCATAAAAAATAAAAAAAATTAAAAATAGATCCAAATATCTTTAATTCACGTGATTCAAACGGTTCAATTTAGATTGGGTAAACAGATAAAAGTAAAGATGTCCTCAAAATTAAGCTTATAAGTTTCTCTAGGTGTTCAAAAAGGCCCTAATAAAATGTTAACTCTGCTTAAATTTAAAAGTTTACAAGTATTGTTTCAAAATGTGAACAAAAGGAGGTTTATGTAATTATGGTGTTATTAATGTGTTCATATCTTCCAGGTATACAAGTCTGTAAGGTAGAAGCTTCAAAAGAACATTATATCAAGCTGGTGTTCTAAAGTTGTATGGTAATTTTAGGCTTAAAAAAAAAAAACATGTTAGAGATTCAATTATATCATTTGTGTTCTATAACTGAACTTGTTATCAATAAGATATGTACTGTTCCATGCTACTTTCTACTCTAAGATACAATTTATGTATTTTTAAGTTAATAAGAGCCTAATCTGTGTGAAGGTTTTATTGCAAAACACAAAAGTACATTACTACTTTTCTACAAGAGGTTAAAAGCTTTCAGCCTTTAATTCATGTTTTAAGTGTGATATTATGTTGTGTTAGCTAAAGTTCATGTAAACTTGAACAACAATTTATGTAAACTTTGTAAAATGATCAGCTTCAGAACTATAGTACTTGAGATTTATAAAGAGCCCTGCCTTACTTGAGATAAGGCTCTGTCCCATCTCACTACATGTGAAAATGGCTATGAAAGAAGTAAGCCAGATTTCAGTACAGTTAAAGTTGTGTCCAAAAGTAGGTTTTTGCCAAGATTACTAGGATCTCAAACAGGAAATTATGATGTATAACCCTGCCAGAATTCAAGGTAGCTATTATATAAGCTAAATATGTTTTTACCCTAGCTAGTTTTGTTTTGTAGTTTGCTTATAGATGGTTTAAGGATTGCCTGTTAATGTTTTAAAGAGATATTGCTTTAAGAACACAACCTGGGTCAACATAAGATAAGGAGTTATCACCTACAGGATAGAGAGATAGACATTAAAGCCCAGTGCTCTTAATATAAGGCTGTTAACTTATTTGCTGGATGTT